CACTACTAGCCACTATCGATCTTTGCTTACAATGCTTGTGAATTAAGGCTATATCGAGACAATATGCACAGTATGCACATATGCCAATTAAAGACTGATCAGTTACAGTCCTAAACATCAATGGGAAGGTTCAAACAAACTATAATAAGTGAATTTGTTCTTTGAGTTTCAACCATCAAAGATAGATTTGTTGGAGAGTGGAAAAATTAAAAGTAACGACTTAGAGACTGAAGATAAATTTATCCTAGTGACTATACAAAAATATGACAGCATTAAATGCTTCTTTTAGACCAAAATATAGCTAATTCAGTGATGTTGTTAATTTCCTTTTCGACTTCATTAAGAGTTTTTCCCTCACCCCTCCGAAAGAATATTTCTATTCTCTTTTCATAGCAAACAATACATAATTATTAGTTCTTTCTTGAGTTTTTTTTTCTTTTTTAAACATTTGAAATGAAATGATAACTAAGGAGAAAGACTGAGGAGACAATGAAATGAAGAGAAAAAAAGTCCATTATCCATAAATTTAACAGAAAATTAACTTTCATGCCAAAGAAAAAAATGCACAAAACACACTCTTAATAATATTATTTCATCCTGGCGTTTCTGACATTTCATTAGTGGTAAGTGAATCAAACAACCGAAAAAAATTAACTAGTAGATGTTGAATCTATTTGTAAATTGTACCATAATCAATCATGAAAAATGGGTTATTGGGATCAACAGGTTATTAATAGTGAGGTCAAACACAGGGTATTAGGGAATGATGGTAAATCAGTCGATGGGGTCATGAATCTTTATCCACTGAAATGGTTGGGCCACGTGTTACGTATACCTAAACACCGATAACCACGACCCGCTATGCTGACTAGTATTGGCAACGGTTGGGAGAGAGTTAGGGGCGGCCAAACCAAAACGTTGCATCAGAGCATGAAGTCACTAACTTCTAGTCTGAGCCATGTTGGCAGATGCAGACTACTTGGTTGGGGTCCGCGTGACTATCGTAACCAATGGTTAGAGATTCTAGGTAAAATGTCTCAAAATCGATCACAATGACGTAGGTGTATACACTCTGTCTTTCCTAAAACCTTGATATTAAAATTGCTTCATAACTTTCTTCCTTCCTATACTATATCCTTATATACAACCTATATTTTAAATACTACCACCACCAGATTAACTACTTCTATGAATTTGGTGTTAATCTTGATGTCCTAATGAGGTTATGGCAACTTGGACCGATGCATATATGTGCCTGGTCCTACGTTGTAGCTGATTGACTGACTGTTAAGGAATCTCATATAGTTATCTTATTATGATCAGTCAGTGATATAAAACAACAAAATAACCGCACTTAATGTTTCATAGTTTAGCTAATCAATTAACTTTAACAATGGAATTGAGGACAACTGTTTCGTCTTTTTGGGACTCCTTACCTGGTTGTTTCCGAATCCTAATGTTGATAGTTATGCGGGGACTCGAAACTTGTCCCTTTTTCATCAAACGGTCAACAAAACTATATCTATTTGGCTATTGAGTTCAGATAACCGCTGACTTTTGCAAAGGCAATAAATTAAAAGTGACTGACTTCGAAAAGTAAATCCAGAGAAGCAGTGATCAGTGGAGTTCAAACCACGTCTGTTGTGAGATAGGAACTCAATGAAGACAATTGGTGAACGGTTGCTCAAACTTCATGTATTGGTTAAAGTTAGACATTAACACCATCGGATACCGGCTCAGTGGTCTATTAGTTAAGTACTCTGGTTCGAGACTGATAGGTCCTGGGTTCGAATCTCGCGAGGCCAGGTCGTGGATGCGTGCTGACTGACTGAATGTCGATGAGCGTCTATACACGAACAGTAGGAAACGCGGATGAACATAGCTAGCTATCCATTACCTCCAGGACTGTGAATGTAATCCATTAACTGATGTCAGTTGTTTGTTTTGTATCTTTTGATGAAAACTATTGTTAGGTTACACAAACTATTTACGGAACCACAACAATGAAATGAAACTATAAAGTAGAGAACTTGTAAAACTAAAAGAGATAATGGTAAGCACTTTGGGCATATCAGAATAGAAGATGGGATAGTTGTCTAACATAGTCATTGTTACATTATTAATACGATGATGGGTATCATTTATTCTTAAATATAAAATATGCCTAAACATCGTTTACATCATTGATCTTACTATTTTAAGGCTAAAAAAACCGTGTACTTTTAGAAATTTTATTATATTTCAATAAAGTTACGACATGTCATTATCTTACGAGAGCATTAAACTATATGACAAGAAAGGATAGCGGAAATTCAAACACTTTTACACATATCAGAAAAGGTTTTGTGGATATTATAGTCAATTTAATAGTTGAGGTCATGAATCACTAGCAGCTAGACCACCAAGGAAAACCTGAAAGCATTGGACGGCCATTTCGTCCTATTATGAGACTCCTCAGCAGTACGCATCCATGATTCAGTCTCGCCAGATTTGAACTCAGAGACCTATCAATTTCGCGAGCGAGCGCTGAACTTATATATTCACTAAGATAAACAGATAGATATATGTTCTCATTCTCACTTTTTCTCACCTTCATACCCACAACCCATTCTCATTTATTGATAAACAATAAAGAATTATTGAGAGTAAAAATAATAATAACTCAATAATAATAGGTAATATATTAATTCTAATTGTCAATTAATAACAAATGAATAAAATATAGGCAGGAAATAATAAATGAACAAATATATTACATAATAAGGTAACAATAAATCGATAAATAGTTTGATCAGTTTCATTCAAAAGTAATAAATATTGTTGAGATGAGCACATTAAAGGATTTTTTTTTAAAATATACTTAGGTAAACACACACACACATACACATAAACTTAAACAAACAATTACAATAAGAATTGGATTAACAATGAAATAAAATACTCTATAATGATGAGATTTAGAATAGGTGTTTCGTTTTATTTAGCACTTGTTGCCTGGATATATCTAAATGTCAATGTAGAAAACCTTCAATAATTCGTTAGAAAATGGTTGCTAAACTTCGTGGATTGGTTGAAATTAGACATTAACACCGTTAGATGCCAATTCAGTGGTCTAGTGGTTAAGCGCTCGCATGCGAGACCAATAGGTACTGGGTTCGAATCTCGCGAAGGCGGGATTGTGGATGCTCACTGTTGAAGAGTCACACAATAGAACGAAATGGCCGTTCAGTGCTTCCAGGTTTCCCGTGGTGATCTAACTTCAATTGACTCATGATTTCAACTATATAAAATCACTAAAATCTACACAAAACCCCATTTTGAAAATTTATATTTATTTGAACACCGAACGCACATACGCTACACAAATCGTTCGATATGTGTGAGGGTTGAAATACTACCCAGGCATCTAAACAGATGCAGATGGTTTTCTTAGAAGGCCACTCCAACAGCATTTGATTTAAAGGTCTAATCCAAAAAGCAGTGGAAAAACGTTAGGAGATGCAGTTCCATGGTAGCTGGTGACCAACAATAGGTTCATACACCATTTGTTCCCATCGGGATCCCGGAGCCCATGTACACCATTCGTTCGGAACCAGGGTTTTCCGACTCCTCTAAGTGGATCCATAGTATCCATTAATTTGGCCAGAGCTCTAGATTCTCACTTTCCGCACTCTCAACTTCATAGACAATACTCCCTTAGAGAGAAGGCAGTGAGTAAGACTTCCCTGACAGAGGCTATATACGCGTGGACATGTTAGAGTATTACGTGAAGGGAGCTGACTCTCCTCATCCTAGACCATACCACATGTCTTTATTATTCTTAATGAACAATTACACAATTTTCATTTATCTAATTTTAATCTGATCTCCATAAGCTTCAAGAACTTTAAGGTTACATAAGACCCTTATAAATACGCTTATATTTTATGCATTAAAAAGTCTTGAAAGTACGACTTCTTTTAAAAACATCCTGTCTTCTATTTAACATTTAAGTTTCAAGAGTACAAGACTTCTGTATCAGGAAATCGATGTTTACGCGTTTAAGTGCTGTAACGCATTTCACACAATAATGTTGTTATCATTGAGGTACGAAACCAATATCAGAATGTTATCCATCAAGCGGTATGAACATTAGTTAGACCCACACAGACCAAATTCTCAATTACAGTAACAACACAAGAACTCATAAAATCAACTGTGTACAAACCATCCAGATCAAAGAATAAAACTCCATCAAAATCATCCACCTGAGCTACAAATCTTCTCTACCATCTCAATTAGACTAAGATAATATTATACTGACAAAATACAAAAGAAACGAAACTATACATACATCTTAGAATAAATTATTTATAGTTGAAAGAGTGAGTCAATTGAAGCTAGACCACTAGGGAAAACCTAAAAGCACTGGATCGCCGTTTCGTCTTATTTTGGGACTCCTCAGCAGTGCGCCATCGGATGCCGGCTCAGTGGTCTATCGGTGCTCTGGCGCGAAACTGGTGAGTCTTGGATTCGAATCTCGCGAGGCGAGGTTATGGATGCGCACTGCTGAAGAGTTTCACAATAGAACGAAACGGCCGTCTAGTGGTTTCAGGTTTTCCCTGGTGGTATAGCTTCAATTGACTCACACTTTCAACTATGAAAATACTAAATCTTCACAAAACCCCTTCATATATATTAGTTGTTTAGATCTTCTTACTAATGTTTAAGACTACAATTGATCAGTCCCCTTATCAGCTTCACTATTGCCAGTAAATCAAAAGCATTTTTAAAGCAGATATAGATGGTTGATAGTAGTAGAATCCAGGAACTTAGTTCCATTCTCTTTGGCACTCATAATCTGGATGTACCTACATCTCAGAATTAATGTTCACTTCAGAACCTACTGGCAATATCGAAGCAATGAGGATAGGATGGTTGCTTAAAAATCACATTGAACTGAATATCAGACATAACAATAACAATATTGAAAACAATATGTAGAATCAATTTTAACTTACATTTTATATAAAGTGATAAAGCAAGTGAAATGAATGCAGCAACAATTAGAACAATTAAAGTTAAATCTTGTAAAGCTTCCCACATTAATCGTAAAAATGTTTTAGCACGTTGTTGTGGTATAACATTAGCACCGAATGTATTAATACGTTTAGAGAAATCTTCTTCATGTAAACCTGACATAAGAAAGAGAGACAAAGAAAAATGATTAATGATGACTTGATAATAATTCGTGTTTATATTATTTTATGTGAGGCAAAATCCGACTAACATGTTCTCGTCGTGCCTCCTGAATCATGGCAACTATCCCATGTACTAACATGAGCGGTGATGTGGGTGGTGAAGATCGGCCTAATCAACCACTCTACCTATACCTACAAACAATTAGGAATGTTACAAAGAGTTATTGCATAACTATTTAGGGTTCAAAATAGATGGTAAAAATGAGTCTGCCCAAAAATAAATAAATAAATAAGAATGAAGAATGTTATGTAACGATTCTGTCTAAGCAATGCAAAAACAACTATCCCGCCCTGGTAGTTGTGCCGTGCTTCGATGTAGCACTCTTCTCCAAAAGGGTCTACTAGGCTTTACCATGTTCCTATGCCTGGAAGGGGAGATATTGTTTTATATGAAGAGGATACATTGTAGAAAATATGTTCTAATTTTCTGACAGATTAATTATTTTATTGTTTTCAGTTATTCTCTATAACTATTCTCTTTGGTAGTGTTAAAAATGGTTAACAGTTAAATGTAAGGTTGTCATATGATTAACTATATCGAACGGTCAAAAATAAATTGACTACCTGAAATATGAAACTGCAACATATGATAGATTCAGTCAATTATATACATATCTAGCTAAACCTATTTCATTCGATTCTGTACCATATTTAATTTGATTTTGTGATTAACAATAGAAAGCGAATAATAAGTCATACCTTATTTAATATTCTTCAATCGAATGTACCTGAAGCTCATTGTTGATGTTTACAATAGCATTTGAGCCTATAGCTTTAAACGTCAACGTGTTATTATTCACTTATCTACTGATTTCAGATTTGCATAGTTGAAAGCGTGAGTCAATTGAAGCTAGACCACCATGGAAAATCTGGAAGAAATGGACGGCCGTTTCGACCTATTGTGTGACTCCTCAGTAGTACATATCCACGATCCCATCTCACAGGATTCGAACCCAGGACCTACCAGTCACGGGCCAGAGCACTTAACCGATAGACCACTGAGCCGGTATCCGATGGTGTTAATGTCTAACCTTAACCAATCCACGAAGTCGAGCGACCGTTCACCAATTGTCTTCATTGAGTTCCCATATCACAACAGACGTGGTTTGAACTCCACTGGTCACTGCTTCTCACTAGAACTCCTGGATTTGCCTCTCGAAGTCAGTCACTAGTGAGCATATTATTATCATCAGAAGGGCTTTTGTGGAGATTTATTATTTTCATAGTTGAAAGCGTGAGTCAATTGAAGCTAGACCACCGGGGTAAACCTGGAAGCACTGGACGGCATCAACTTGTTTACTAAGCATAAAGTAATTTGTTAAGGTATGAGTTTTCTCCTTATTGACATTTAAGACTACAATTGGTCAGTCTATGTTAGAATATAAGCAGCCTAAGTGGATTGCTTCAATATTATCTTTCAATTACAAGTATTATGTTATGTAATGTCTGATCTCAAACGCGATCTTTCCATACATGACCCTAACTGGCTGCTCAAATGAAAAGACTGAGAATGGGGAAAGAATTTTATTGAATAACGAAATCGGCATTTATGTATGTTCATTCATTCATTCCTTGGAAAACCAAGCCACCAATGGTGTATGTCTCACTCCTATGAAATGTAAGCCACTTTTTGACTAATCGCGTGTATTTATCATTCAGCCGATTTTCGATTGACTTAATGCATTATCTTCCCTTTCGAAAAAATAAGACTTACTGAAGGCGTTGGAAATGAAACCATATCAACAAATTGTCTAGTAAATTTAGATTATCTTTCAATGAATAAATTAAGTGATTTCATTCAAAAAATTAAGACGAACATAAAAAAAGAAGACGAATGATGAATATTGAATGTGACAGACGTGAAAATGTCCTATGCTTTTTTTAAAGGTAGGTTACCATTTATTTAACTATACACAGAATTGTACTGACAAGATAAGCTACGTTTTAAAAGAATTGCAAAGCAGTGACCATGTAGTTCAAGTATTTAACTATTAATAAGTAGAAATTAGTGTTCTATTTCATTTATTTAGGTTCAGATTATTACTGAACCATATCAAATAGTATCATAATAGTTGAGTACAAAAAAGTATACTTGACAACTAAATTACATTATAGAATTAAGTGTAAATACTAAGATCATGAGTCAATTGAAGCTAGACCACCAAGGAAGACCTAGGAGCACTGTATGGCCGTCTCGACCTATTGTGGAACTCCTCGGCAGTGTGCACCCACGATCCCGCCTCACAGGATTCCAACCCAGGACCTACCAGTCTCGCGCCAGAGCACTTAACCGATAGAGCACTGAGACGGCATCCAGAGGTGTTAATGTCTAACCTCAACCAATCCACGAAATTGCGCGACCGACTTCCGTTGAACTGAGGTAGATACCTGTCTCTAACTAACATGGATTAGCTCCACTGGCCATGACTTCTCACTAGAGCTCCAGGAATTACCTCATGGAGCCAGTCACTAGTGAGCATATGATCAATATCACAACGGGATTTTTGTGGAGATATTAGTAATTTTATAGTTAAGATCATGAGTCAATTGAAGCTAGACCACCGTGGAAAACCTGAAATACCGCGAGGCGGGATCGAGAATGCGCACTGTTGAGGAGTCACACAACAGGACGAAACGGACGTCCAGTGCTTCCAGGTTTTCCACGGTGGTCTAGCTTCAATTGACTCAGGATTTCAACTATATAAAATAACTAAAATCACCACAAAACCCCCCTTGTGACAATGACTTAATAGTTAAAAGATTGATTTTTAACTATTTAGTTTATAAGTTTGAATCGTACTACACCAAATTCAGGTCAAATAGTATCTCTCAACTTTCAAAGAAACTTTCCGGTTTAGAGATGAGTACATGAAAATATACTTGATTACCGAATTGTATGGTATTCATATTTGATAGTGGTGTGTTTTACGATATGTAGTACAGACAAAAACGTTTGTATATCAAATGACAGATATATACTATAAATTATTTCAATCTGCATAACTTGCATCCATTTGATATGCTCCCAAATGCCCTGGTATGACAGACAGTGGAGAGAGTTCGCTCTCCCTCTCCAAATGCTCTCACATGGCCACGCGTATATAGCCTCTACCAGGGAAGTCCTACCCACTGCCTTCTCTAGAAGGGTGTATTGTCTAAGAAATTGAAAAGACAAAAAACGAATGTCCGGCGCTTTAACGAGGTTGGTGGGCACAGAAAGTCCACCTAGAGGAGTTGGAAAACCCTGATTCTAAACCAATGGTGCACATGGGCTAACTCCAGTATCCTAATGGAACAAATGGCGTATGAATCGATCATTGGTCACCGGTTACCATGTGACTTAATCTCCTGACGTTGTTCCACTGCCTTGTGGATCAGATATTTAAGTCAAAAGCTCCAGTTGTGCCCCCTTAAGAAAACCACCTGTTTCGGTTTGGGCACCTGGGCAATATCACAGCCCTCACACAAATCAAATGAGATCAGTGTGGCGCATATATATCTGGTGCCACTTTGTACTAATACTTATGTGTTCAAATAATAACAATAAAAGATATCTTCAGATATTGATTACATATGGTGAAAGTAACAAAAGAGTAATTCTATGATTAGGTGTAAAGTTTTAAGTTATAAAGAAGTTGATGATGACATGAATCTTAATTCATTGAGGTGATTGAAAAACATAATACACATACCTGGTAGCAGACTATAAAAATATGGAATACTAACTAATGTAGTAGGTTGGAAAGGTAGTAGGGCCTATTTAGGATATGGAGAGTATCAATCCATAATGTCGTAACTCCTAGTTTAAGATGGATTGAAAGGTGAAAAGTTATTGGTTGGGATCCAAGTAATAAGCATAATCAACTGTTAAGGAATATCATGTGACATAGCTGTAAATTGATTGTTAAGGCACAGATACATTTATTCTTTATTTTAATCTAAATATTGAGTTTTAGGTTAAGGTTTTCTTTTTCTAACCACTAGATCACAGGGTTTAAAACCAGTATATATACTTCATTCTAGGAAACCAGATAGTATCACAATTCGTCACGCTTATAGCATAGCACTAAGATGGACACAAGAATCTTTAACTAGTAAATGAGTTTCCCATTACCTTTAATTATTTCCTTTTCATCGTAAGATTTTCCTATTTTTCAAATGCAGAGATGTGAAATTTCGTAATCTTGAATAATACAAACCTATTTCAGGTGGTATGTTATTGATAAATGACTAACTTAAATGACAATCTTTACTATTTGAGCCTATTGTGCAACATTATTTTGATGACTAGTTATTTACCAAGGACAGATTCATTTACTTAACTCTGAGCTACACTCCAAGTATGAAAGGCTGGTTACCTAATCGAAGTTGGTGGAAAGTATTTTGAACCCACAACTCAAATGACTGAAAATTAAACCCTCAGACCACTGAACCATACTTACTAATCTACAAGGTTATTTTAATTGAAAATAATACAACTAATTTGTGTCGAAACATTACAAGTTAAAGATTACTCATTATTAGTAGGAGTTTAATAAGAAACTGTTTTCTTAAGTGTAAATGAACGATTACACAATCAATAGAAGCTGAAAATATAGATCATCCAATTTCTGATTGCATTGTATTGAGGTCATTCATTTAGTCATAAACAATGCATGTGAATCGACTCAAGTTGATACAGACGTCACTGTGTTGAAAAGTCATATAATAGGAAGAAACTGCTGTTCAATATTACTTTAACAAACATTTTGTCCTTCTTCTAGAATTTACATAAGAGAATAATCTGTATGTATAAACTGATATGAGGCGAGTCCCAAATACGACGAAACGCGCGTCCTGGATTCCACTTCAAGCCATTATCCATCTTTGCTTATAAGGCTTATTAATGGTTCTCAAAGTATAGACATACAAATTTTTATTGCTTTCAAGCGATA